GAATTCAGGGGGGGATAAACCAAGAATAACCCCCCCTCCCAAAAAGAGGGATGCCGATTCTTTTAACGCCATACGCACGCAAGCAGCAAGAAATCGGGGGGTCGTGCAACCCATACATACCGCGCACATAACACACACGCATGTCCCTCCGACAAGCACAGATTCACTAACACGCTCACACAGACAGTTTACCCACACTGACACACGGACACACGCACAACGACACTCACGTACGCACAGCACACACACACACACACACACACATACAAACACACACACACGCACACACACTCATACACACACAGGAGCCGAGTGCATGTATGCTGAGGACGGTGCTCGTTGGAGTGCGATCGGCTCGAGGGTCGTCCTCGTGTAGTGTATTGAGGAGGGCCCACAGTGTCAAGGACGATGCCCTCGCCAAAGTCGCCATCGACGCGGCGCGCCATGACCGACTCGCCGACGGCGTACGCGCCCGCGTCACCCTTGGCATCGAGCAGCTTCTGCGCCAGGCACAGCGCCGCCTCCAGCGTGCACACTCCCATCGGCGCGTTGCCGATGACCTGAGGCATCGCCGCGGCGAGCTGCGGCAGCACGCCCTCGCGGCAGTAGGCCGCCAGCGCGAGCTGCGAGGAGCGGCAGGCGGCGCAGATGTTGCGGACCGCCGTCCGGAACGCGCTCGCGTCCGACGCGCCTGCGGCCGCCGCCTGCAGCCGCGCCAGGTCTGTCCGGATGGCCGCCGTGCTGGGCGGGCCCGACATGTGTCTCGACGTGGGCCTGCGGGGAGGCGCGGCGCGGGTGTCACTCCGACGGCGCCGGCATCCAAGCGTTGCACCGGGCCCCCGCGCCTTCGTGCCAAGACCGCCGCCGACCTTGTCTCCTCGCGAAAAGAATTTACACGGGCTATCTCTCGGCGCAGACAGGCTGCATCACACTCCTCTCCTTAAAATCCCTGTGTGGTGGCGGCGTGCCGTTCTCCCATCCCTCCCTTGGGTTGTCTGTTTTCTTTCTTTCTTTCTTAGACAGGCTCGACACAGGTGCGAACTGGCGCGTGCTAGTACTATCACAGGCACACCACCGGAGCCGCCTAAGCGACTCCGTTAAGAACGGCAATGCATTCCGCACCGTGCACAATGCCGCTCAAGAAGAATTTAAGTCCTGCGCGAGATCAACTGGCGCACAGGCACGAACACAGGTACACCACGGGAGCCGCCTAAGCGACTCACGGACGCTACGCCGTATTGATGATTCTGCGTCCCGACGCGGTGCTGACGCGCCCTCTCCACATCGCGGCGCAGTGTGCAGGCCACCGGCTGACTAGCGCTCGCTACACCGGGGCTCACTGCCCTTCTCAGGGTGTGGGGGGCGCGGGATAGGCACGGCACCTCGCCCTGCGTTAGTGCGGACCTCCCGCTACCTTGCCTCAGACGCACCTGGTCTCAACTACCTCTCCGGCTCATTTGAGCGGCCCGACAAGATCCACGACCGAGACTACGACCTCGCGTTCCTCTTTTGCGACCGCGAGAGCGCGCCCCCCTTCTACGACTCCCTCCTCTTGAGCGGAGAGGTGGAGCGCGGGCGCTGTTGCGACGCGCCGCCGCCTCTCCCGGCCGGGTTCCACGGCCGCTGGTCGCGCGAAGAGTGCTGGGAGCCGTTTTGCCGACAGCTCCAGCTCTTCTCCCGGGCAAGGAAGCGCGTGGGCAACCTTGACCATGCGCATATCTTTGTCGAGCTCACCCGATGCGCCGCCATCGGGGTTCGCACAGCGGCGGGGATGGCCACGGTGCCTCTGGCGTACTAGGTAGTCATTGGACGCTTAGGCGGCTCCCGTGGTGTACCTGTGTTAGTGCCAGTGCGCGCTCCCGTGCCTCGTCGCTCGTGTCGTGAGAGGAAGTTTTGAGTTGAAATTCTTTTTCTCTTCGCGCCTGCTCCTCCAAGCTGGCCTCTTCGTCCGGATCGCGACTGCCGCGCGCGTGCGTTGTGGCCCTGGATGCAGTGTGTGGGTATGCACAATGTAGAATGTAGCGCGTTGTCCCCCCGTGTCACGCGCCGCGTGTGGCGAGTGGAGGACACTTTCGCTCTCTCACCACAGATCCGAGATCGCCACATGCACGGTCGTGGTCCTGCTCGTTTGGTCTTACTGTACTCCCAGCAGCCTTGCGCACCAAGCCACACCTGGATGAGACGCATTTAATACGCAACGTAACTCAATGACACTTTACCAGGCTGTGCGCCTGCGCGCTGCGGGCTGCGCGGTCGCACACATACGCACAGCAACACGTCGCACTCAACCAACGGGTGGCGGCCCAAACAACGGCAACGCAACCATACACACAGCACACACGCAAACACTGCACATACGGTAGCACAAAGCACTCTCAACCCCCCCCCCCCGGCCGCCCTTGCACACACAGCACACACAGCACACACAGCGCGCACGGCGCGTATCCTAGTTCCCACGGTTGCGCCGCTGTGTCGCCCTTCACGACGCCCTCCAGTCCCTCTTTAGGACTCGGAGGAAGTCTGGCCACCACATCTGCCACGACGCGGCATTACCGCCCGCCCACGTGCAATGGGAGAAGCCGCGAAAGGTCTTGTCGTACTTGAGCACGCCAGGCGCCAGCTCCTGCACCATCTTCGTGTGGTCGCGGATCTCGGTGTACACGTCGTTCTCGCCTAGGTACGCGTCCGCACTGTCGCGCATCACGCACGCACGTGCGTGCCAAGCGTGTGCGTGCTCCCGCCTCGAAAGAAGGCGAGCGGCGTTTGGATGGCGGTCAGGTTAAAGCGCGGGGGCGCGGCCGTCCCATACTCAGCCAGGTTGTCGCGGCTGCCGTAGTCGAAGTCCTGGAAGCGCGCCTCGCCACTCCCGACGCCCTGCATGAAGTGCTGCACCTGCAGTTTGAATCCAAAGGTCGGTGCAGCTTTTCACTGCCGGCTCGGCACCTAGAGGTGCTGCTCACGTCCTTGACCGCCGTGCCGGCGGGGAAGTTTGAGAAGAACCCCATCGAGATGACCTCCATGTCGTCGTACGGGCTGGGCCCGAACATCTGCTCCTTGACGAGCTCGCACACGGCGCCCCCGGTGGCGAGGCATACAGTCTGCACCAGCCAGTTGAGCGGCTTGTAGTCCTGCGCAGAGAAGGGAGGGAGAGGTGGTGGTTTGGAGGGGCATACACACGCCCTCCTATGCACGGCCTCTCCTCAAGAGATCGCGTGCTGGAGAATGCCATGCGGAGACAGACATGACGTTACAGCATTTGCATCTGGCTTTGTACCGCGTCGGTGGAGAGGAAGCCGTAGGGCCAGACGCGGTGCAGCAAGTCAAAGGCGCGGGCGGCAGCGAGCGACTGCAGGCTCAGCGAAGACGTGTGTTTGCTGTACGTGACGGGTGCGATCATCGTGGCTATGTTGATGTGCCGCTCGAAGTAGGCCTTGAGCGCCGGGTCCTGCATCGCTATGAAGGCCTGGTTCGTGCCGCGTGACCAGCCGACATAGTTGATGCGCTCGGCGCCGGTCTCGTGAAGCACCTTTGCGACGATGGCGGGGCAGTCGTTGCGCGCGAGGGTCGAGTACGTCCAATTCCAAAATTTCGCGTTCTGATCCACCTCCCTCCCTTCGCCCAGCGTGACGTGGCGGCGGCCGTAGGGCGTGCCTCGGTTGTTGGCGAGCCACACATCAAACCCGGCCTCGTACAGCTGCTGGCCCGGGGACCGCTCGTTTGGGCCACTGATCCACGCCCACGCGTCGAAAAAGTTGCCGTGGACGAGGAGGACCGGCATGGCCCCCGGGTTGGGGATGCGCTGCAGCGAGAGGATGTATCCGTCGGGCGTCAATACCTCGTGGTCTTCGAAGGGGTAGCCACGCCGCACGAGGAACTCCTGCATCGATTCGTTGAGGAGAGGCGGCCGCACGTGGATTCGGCTTTTCACGTTGCTGCGGCGCTCAGCACCAAGCATGAGACCGACGACCAGGAGGGTGAGAGCGAAGGCAGGCATCACGATACGGCACCAGCGGCCGCTGAGAGCGAAGGCAGGCTTCACGATACGGCACCGGCGGCCGGTGGCCGGTGGCGTAATCATCGACGCGTGCCGCGGGCGCAGCGGCCCGTCGCCACCGCCACGATCTGAGGCACCACCCCAAAATATCGTCAAAGCGGGCCTGCTCGGGGCTGATTGGAGACACGAGATAAAAAAATCTGAAGCAGTGCAGCCGTCAAAGAGCAGCGCCGACCGGGCGCTCGCGCCGCTCTCAAACGTGATTAGTGCGGTCGTGCCGTCGAGCAGGACCTTCTCGACGTGGCCGTGGAAGGCTGCGCCGGCGGGCGCGGGAGGGCACGGTGGCTGCGGACTGTGGAGGGCAGCGGCTGCTAGCTTAGAATTACACGAGTGTCGTGTCGTGTTCTGGTCCCGCACCAAAGTAGGTGGAGAGGTCCTCCCGCGAGGCGTCCGCCGGCAGGTTCTCGACGAGGACTGTGCAGCTATCCGTCATCGCAACAGCGGCACCAAAGGCGAGAGAGAGAGAGATTTTTATTAACCAATAACAAGACATCACGACTTCTTTCTCAAAGGCGCGCGCCGACAGCTTGAGAAGAAGAATTTTGAGAAGAAGAAAACCGGCACGCTGGGAACCAACTCGCACACATGGCTCTTTTTTTTACCGATACTTTTCTAATACATTTCCGTTCACACCATGGATGCTATGCCGAGCCCTAGGGCTTCTCCGACGCACAGCTGTGAACACTGAATCAGACGGAAGTGGGGAGGATATGTCCAGCGCGTTCCTAGAGGTGAACGCTAGGGCGCTAGAAGAAGTGCGAGGGCCTTGGGCAACTGCGTGAACGCGAACGCTCCCTCCCGGCCAAGGCTATCCATACCCATATCCAGCGCGCTCCTAGAGGTGAACGCTATAGGACCTGTGCTAACCAGCTCAGTCCGCCCGGCTTCCCTTGGACCACGATAGCAGTCCAGGGACCCAGGGAGCGGCAGCAGCGCATCATCATTGCATTCCGTTGGTTGCGGTTGCGCCGAGTTCTCTGGGGTGTCGTCGACTTGAGCCATAAGCCTATGCACGCAAACGTGGGCAGGCATGTGAGGCGACGTGCGCGTCGCGTCGCCAGAGCAACTGAATTACCACACCACACATGTCTCGATTCTCAATGGTAAAAGTACCACGTCTCGCCGCAGCGTACGCCAAAAGTCTGCAACGTGATGCGCAGCGCCGCAGCGTCCCACTCGCGGTACGGCCACGCAGCGAGCGCGTGCTGGAGCGTGAGCGGCCACGAGTAGAGTGCGCCACGCTCGTAGACTGTGACGCGCTCGACCGCCGTGTCGCTCGCCGCGCCGTGGTGGTCCCGCAAGTTCCAGTGGAGGAGGCCTGCGCCAGGCGGCGTCGCCACCGGCAGCAGGAAAGCGAGTCGCGACGCCTCATCGCAATGCGTGCCGCCCACGGAGAGGAGTAGGGAGCGGAATTTCTCGTCGTCGCTGTGCGGATTGACCAGGAAGGCCCACGCCACCGAGGGAAGATAGATCTGGGCGGCGGGGGGCTCCAGATGGGCAATCGCGCCCTCGCCACCAAAAACAACTTGCCTCGGTCCCACTTGCAACCGCGCCGCGAGCGCCCGACGCAGCGGCGTCTTGAAAAGGGCCGCGTCTCGCAGCACCGATCGAGCTTGTTCGCGGTGGGCGCGGCCGCGCAAGCCAAGCACCCGCGAGCCCTCGTTGCCCACGAGGCGCGCGAAGCCGTATTCGTAGCTCCACCAGGGAGGGGCCCGCTCATCGGCGCCCGCGTGGTTGCTGTTGATGCCGAGCGAGAAGTACGGCAACGGGGTTGCGTGCCTAGCATACGTCCAAGCATCGTGCTCCGCAAGTATGCCAGCCACGACCTCATCGCACTCGGCCGGCGTGAAGGCGCTGCGGACCGCGGTGATCGTCTCGTTTGACGCTGCCCGTTTGATGCGGAGCATCCCAGCGTCGTAAAGCGCCAGCGTCCGAATGTTGTACCGCACTCTAGGATGTGGCAGCCCCATGCGCAGAAGCACCGCAGCACCCACGACCAATAAGAGCGCGAGCGAGGTGGTGTTGGTCGTGATTGCCGCAACGCGTCGCCACAGCACGGCCACGAGCAGCGCGGACGCAGAGAGCAACGCGACGCCCAGCTCGAAGCGCAAGTAGCCGACGAGAGGCGTGCATACCCACAGCATCCCGCCGGCAGTGCACACGCGTGAAGCCACCCATACCGCGACAGCAGCGGTAGTGACGCCTCGCCGCAAGCGCGAACGCGCGATGGCGGCTAGTAGCACCGCGCCGAGCGCGAGCTGCTTACTCGAGCAGAGCGCGCCGGGCCGAGGCGCCGCCCGCCACAGGCGCCCGCCCGGCGGATCACCCGCACCAACGAGCTCGTAGCTTACATGCAGCGTGGCCGGGGTGTTGCGGCTCGACACCACAACGAGGTACAAGGGCGCACGCTCTAACGTCTCGTGCGACAAGACCAGGGTCGGTGCCTGTGAATCACCCCACGCCGCGGTGCTGCACCCGACGACCTGCTGCTGCAGCTGCCCACCCTCTTCCTCGTTGCACTCTCCATGAAGCACGTACAGCGAGACCGCATCTTGGCCGACTCGTGTGATGTGGAGGGCCGCGGTATCGGGCGGGCGCTTGTCAGTGGCAGGAATCGACTGCCACGCTAGCAGGCCGCTCCCCACCTCGGGCTTGGCGCAACCGATGGCTCTTCCGCTTTCCACGACGGCGTGCACCATCTCCGGCTCTTGGAAGAGCGCCAGATCGATCGTGAAGCGCGTGCGAGCGGCGTCGTGTATTCCGTCACCCTCGAGCGGCCTCGCTTTGGAGCAGGTTTGACCCATCGAGGCAGTTTTGACCCACTGAGGATCAGGCCACAGCTTGACTGAGTCGAAATCTCCGTCCGGGATGGGGTCCCATGGCCGGCCGCCGATTTTCAGTGTTTTATTATTTTTCTTTTTTGCGCGATTTTCTACTTGTTTTCACGAGATTTCGCGTATTGCGAACATGCTATCACGCCTTGGCCCTTGCGACAGCCTGTCGGCGCTGCTGACCGTGCCATGATGCACAATTGACCACCTGCATAGCTCGCGGCCTTAGTATCCAGCATTCAGTGACGACCTGATCGTACGGCCAGTAGGAAGGTGTCCGTGTCACAAACTGCCTCGGATTGGCTGCTGGCACTCTCGAGGCTATGCCTACACAGAGCCTCGCGCGCATGGGCAGTCAAGAGGGACCACGCACCTTCTCAGGATAGCACCAGTGCCTCTCTCTTGGACCGGCAAACGTGGTGGTCTCGTGTTACCAATGTGGGACCAGTGCGGCATCGCGCCATCGACAGCTCTGAAGTACGCCGCTCACCACTGACCGGGAAGGCCGCCAAGTGGGCCAGCACCGGTCGCACATTGTGGCAGCAGTCAGCAGTGCATGTCTGATAGCTAGAGCAGCAGCGTCAGGGTCGCAGGGTCGGATCGTGTCAAGCCTCTCGCCCGGCAGGCCGCGTGCAGACGTCGGCCTGTCTGCTGTCTGGAGTGATCTGTCGGCGGTCAGTACGACCGATCAGGTCGGAGTTTTCTGATGGTTGGAGGGTCTATCTGTATGTACTCCTCGAGATCTCTCCAAATCTGCCCTCTGATCAACCTAGCTTAATCGGGAAGTCGGTGCTAGTAGAGACTAGTTGAGAGAGCCGGAGCCCCGTTTCCGCACTGCTGCGCGGCGCACGGTGCCTCCGGGGGCCCCCGCGCCCCCCCAGAGTCCCACTGTGAATTTGTGTGAGCTCTGTATGTGTCCTGATTTGCCAACAACATACCTACAACCAACACTGCGGAGCCGCGGGCGATGCTGTCGGTGATCTCATCGACGGCCGCGACTCCGTCAGCGCGCACGTGCGCGCCCTCGGCCCTCGCTGAGAGCCTGGCGCGCGGGCAGCATCGACCTGCAAGCCGCCTGGGTTCGGGCTCTTATGGTCGTTTTGCTTTTCTCCCATGCAGAAGTGACAATACTGAGCCGGACACTGTGTAGACGCACATATTCACACAGCCGCATCCTTCACGCAGTTGTGACCTGGAATCCCATTTCACGCATCTTCTTTGCTGCGTCGCTAAGGGAGCAGTGACGAAATGTGAGGATAAGCACAGCACTGTGTTGACCTGTGCGCTCGGAGGAGCGGTGGAACACCGGTGTGCGCCCTTTCATGTAGAAATCACCGTGCATCAAATGCGCCTGGAGCGTTTCACGGCAAAGCGTCATCTCGTGCTCCCCCGTCGAGCTCGAAGCAATATCCATCCCACCACTCCCATCTAGGCTGATTGTCATTCGGACTGTGACGCCGTCTAGTTCGCTGTCCTGGTGCCAAGGACCTACTATCTGCGAGTTGCTATGATTTGCAAGCAAGAAGAGAATGCAAGCGTCAAATGTGACAGGTGAGGCAAACCCCTTCTCCAGGGCATCGGCCAGTGCACCCATGGCGCAACCGCACTGCCGCATAGCTGCAAGGGCTCGCTGCTGAGGGTCGTGATGATCATCGGTCAAACTTGTCTGACCCAGAACAAACCGATGAAACCACCCTGAGTTACTCGAGGCTCTTGGTGGAACACCACCAAAAGTGGCATCAATTAGCTCGCCGTGCTCAGTTTGCTTACCTGACGCAATGATGCGTTTCGATGCAATGAGCACATCACGTTCAAGCTGCTCGGGAATCACCCCCTGGACGGTCAGGTTGACCAACTGGCATCCTGGAAGAGCGGGGATGCCTTGATGCTTTGGCCGGTGAAGTGAAGGGATGGGTTGGGGGCGGAGGAGAGCCAAGCGCACTAAGAACTTCTCCAAAGCCAGCGAGCGGTCTCCATGGGACATATCAAGCAGGCTCATTTCCTTGAGTATGTCTGCATCAGCCTGGAAACCACCGACCTGCTGATGCTGCCGAAGCAAATCGCGGAGTCGCGCCCACTGCTGTGCGCCATCGCCGGTGCCGTCCTCGCCGGTGTCGATCACAGGATCTGTTTCCTTGGGCTGCTTGAGAGGATTGACACCGAGAGAATGGAATACGGTAGTGACAGCGAGAGCAGACCAGGGAAACATTCCACACTTGCGTTTGTCCGTCCGGCGTAATGGCGAAAAAACGGGAGAGCCCTTTTGCGCAGCAACACCTTAAATTTCATGGCCCTCCAAATTCGGGTCGGAGCGTAGCGGAGTGGGCCCCGAGTTTGAAAAGGGCGACGGACGCTTGCGTCCTAGCCTCCAACAACGCCTCCCCGGCGCAGAGGGGCCCCCGGAGGAATGCACAACCGACCCACGCCATGCCGCTTGCGGCGGTCCTCTTCCCAGCTCCGCTGAGGGCCGTGCGTTATTTTTGCCGAGCAGGATTTTGGCACGCTCTGAGCAATCGCGAGCACAGCCACGCGTGGGTGCTGCGCGGGCTTGTCGCGTGATGCGAAAGGCTCGCGAGGTGGCCAGCGCCAAGGCCGCTGGCGTCTACGCGACTGCCGGCTGCCTCTCAGCCACTCTCAGCCACGCCCACCCAAAGCGCACCTCATCTTTGCCCGAGCACATCGCCATTGTGCTGTGGTTGCCGGAATCACCGAGAGCTTCGGCGGACTCATCGATCGCAGTGCGCCTTGGCAGCATCCTCCCGGCCATCCAGCGCGCGCTCCTGTCGTCGGAGTTGGCCCCTCCCGCAATCTTCGTGATTGATTGTTCGCCGCTCATGCCGTCGTCGGGCAGCGCACGCGCCATCATGGACAAGGAGATCTCGGACTCTGGCGCGGACCGGCACCTCGGCAAGCAGATCAGCAAGCCGGTGAGCCGCGTCCTCGACAGGCTGTGCTCCGGCTACCGAGGCAGCATCACCCTCTTCGGCATCCAAGAGAGCGCTCCCCTCGCGCTCTGCCTGCTCGAGCACGGTGCCAAGTGGGGCACCGTCACGCGCGCTGCGCTGCTAAAGCCGCACCTGAGCTCGGCGGCGGTGAACGCGCTGCTCGTCAAGCCGGCGCAGGCGAAGGTCACACTCGACGTCCTGTACGAGAGCGAGCGCGACTGCCAGCGCAGGGACGGCGCGGTACGGCACTCTTACCCGGACGGCACCTCGCATGTGCTCGACTCGCACGTGACTGTGGGCAGGGCGCTCCACGCCGCCCTCCTCTCGCTCGGCACTGCCGACCTCCGGGGCACGCTGCTCGAGGCCGGCGGTGCCAGCCTGCAGCTCGACCCAGACGAGATCGACTCGTCCGGCCTCACAGTCTGTTGAGCGAGTGGTCCTTCTGTGCGCCTTTGATGAACCTTCTAGGAACCTTCCTGTAGGCCGCGCCGTTTGGTGGAGCGAGTGGTCATTCGAGCTCAACACGCGGACCAAGCAGCCGCAGACCGTCGTGAGCAGGTGGGGCCACACCGTTTCCTCTCCTCGCCGCCGCCTCTCTCCTCACCACCGCCTCTCGCTGATCCCTTCCTCTCTCCCTCCTCGCCGCCTCTCTCCTCACCGCCTTGTATCTCCTCACCGCCGCTTCCCTCCTCACCGCCGCCTCCTTCCCTCGCTGCTGTGCCTCGCCTAGCCGCTGCCTATCTCCTCACCGATCCCCGTCGTTGCCTTCGCAGCCTCAACGCGAGGGAGGTCGCGCGGGCCGTGTCGCCGCCGGAAGCAGCGCCGCCCCAGCCCCTCGCGGCCGCGGCCGGCGCGGCGAAGGGCGTGGATCAGCAGAAGTGGGTCGGAGCGCTGGTCTTCGCCGCCGCCAAAGCCAGACGCCGGACGGTATCTAGATAGAGCCCTTCTCTGAGCCTTCTCCGGGCCTTCCTACCAGGTCCTCCGCGGCAACCGCTGCGTGCTCGCGCGCTCGCTGGACTCGCCTCGCGCGTGGCTCGGCATGCGCATCCCGCGCGCGGCGCTGCGCCCGTCCGAGTCAGAGGCGGAGGCGGAGAGAGCCCACTCTTGCGCCCCCGCACAGCGTGTGGAGGCGTGTGCTTGGCGATGGCCCTAGGCCGATGCGGCGCTCCGCGCCGCGATGGACAGTTGCGACATCGACGAGAGCTACAAGGCGCATCGACCCCGCACACCCTCCCCCCCCACCCGCCCGACCCGCCGGCGCCGCCGCTTCGCTGTCACCTCTAGTCCCATCCCCCCCGCCGCTATTGCCGCTCGAGCCTCGCGCCCTCCCTCGCATCCCACCCTCTCCCCCCACACACCGCCCCTCCCTCACCGCCCCCCTCTGGTACCCTCTCACCGCCCCTCCCCGCCGCCCCTCCTCACCGCTGCAGGACACCGAGCTCGAGCGGCTCCCCGCCATCCCGCCCGCCGCACTGCACATCGGCGAGACCGGCGAGGCGAGCTTCGCGCTCATCCACCCGCTCTACGCGGCGCGGCCGCCTCCGCCCGGCGCACTTGAGGATGCGGATCTGACGGACGACGAAGACTCGTACGACTGGTGAGGAGATCGCGCCAGATCCACCCGAGATCACGCGAGATCAGCGAGAGATCCACCCGAGATCACGCGAGATCACGCGAGATCAGCGAGAGATCCACCCGAGATCACGCGAGATCAGCGAGAGATCCACCCGAGATCACGCGAGATCAGCCGAGGCACTCGTACTGCTTGCTGCTGAGAGACCCACGGAAGACTCTCTCGTCAGCAGGCCTGCCGCGCCAGGTACACCTGGCCGCGCGCCGTCCACGTGCTGCGGCACGACGCGGCCTCCCTCGCCGCCCTACGCACCCTTGCCTGCGGGGTCGCAGCCGCGGTGGGCGCCGGCGCGGTGGCAAGCAAGTGGGGAGGCTACTTCGGGCAAGAGTGGCTTGAGCCCAGCCCGCTCGCCGCCGCCGCCCTCGCGCCCCCCGCGGTGCCACCGCTTGTTGCTGTGGGGGAAGCGAAGCCAGCAACGTTGGGCGGCGCGGCGGCGGCGGCGGCGGCGGCCAGGGCGGCGGGCGGCACGATGGCCGCGGCGGCCGACGTGACCGGCCGGCTCTCCTCGCTCGAGGCCAAGGTGGAGCTGATACTGGCGCGGATGGACGGGGGCGCGGCGGTGGGCGCGGCGTTGGAGGCGCCGGCCGCGGCCTCGGCGGCCAACGCGGGTGCGGGCGGTCAGGGCGCCCCCCTCGCCCTACTCAAAGAGGCGGCGCGGGCTGTCGGCGAGCGTGCCGGTTCAGCGGGCGTACCGCCTCTGCCCGTGACTGTGCTCTCCGGCTTCCTGGGCGCGGGCAAGACGACCCTGCTCAAGCACCTGCTGCAAAACCGGGCCGGCGTCCGCATCGCCGTCGTCGTCAACGACATGGCGGCCGTCAACGTCGACGCAGAGCTCGTGCGGCGCGGCGACGTGCTGCGCCAGGAGGAGAAGCTGGTCGAGCTCTCCAACGGCTGCATCTGCTGCACGCTGCGCGAGGACCTGCTCACCTCGCTCGCCTCGCTCGCGGCCGAGGGCCGCTTCGACCACGTCCTTGTCGAGTCGTCGGGCATCTCGGAGCCGCTCCCCGTCGCCGAGACCTTCACCTTCACGGACGAGGCGAGCGGCGTGAGCTTGGGCGATGTCGCGAGCCTGCACAACCTCGTCACGGTGGTGGACGCGGCGGCCATCTTCGAGGAGCTGGGCTCGGTGGACACGCTGGCGGAGCGCGGCTGGCAGGCGGGCGACGGGGACGAGCGCTGCGTCGCGCATCTGCTCTGCGAGCAGATCGAGTTTGCGGACGTCCTGCTGGTGAACAAGGCCGACTTGCTGGGCGATGCGGAGCTGGGCGCGGTCGAGCGGCTGCTGCACAAGGTCAACCCGACGGCGGAGGTGATCCGTTCGGAGCACAGCCGCGTCGAGCCGGCTCGGCTGCTCGGCAAGGCGCGCTTTAGCCTGCGCAAGGCGGAGGAGCACCCCGACTGGCTCCGCGAGGCGCGCGCACACCAGCACGTCCCCGAGACGGTCGAGTACGGCATCTCGTCCTTCATCTTCCGCGCGAGGCGGCCCTTCCACCCGGCGCGCCTCCACGCGGCGCTGTGCGTGCGGCCGCGCGCCGGCCCGCTGGCGCGGCTGCTGCGGCTCAAGGGGATTGCGTGGCTGGCGACGCGGCACGAGCAGCAAGCGAGCCTGGCGCTCGCAGGCACGCAGTTCGAGCTGACGCCGGGCCCGCCCTGGTGGGCGGCGCTGCCTCGCGAGGAGTGGCCCAAGGGCCTGCAGGAAGACATCGGGCCGCTCTGGGACGAGGCGCACGGCGACCGCCAGTCGGAGATGGTGTGCATCGGGCAGGAGCTCGACCACGCGGCTGCAAAGGCGGAGCTGGACAAGTGCCTGCTCACCGATGAGGAGATGGCGGGCGGCGGCGACAAGTGGCGGGACGCGTTGCCCGACCCCTTTGCCGACGCCTGGGAGAGGGCGATCGCGTCGGGGGAGGGCCACGACCACGATCACCAGCATGCGCACGCACATGCGCACTAGCTCGTCCTCTCCGACCAAGACATCACAGCTCTCCGAACGCATTGACCACTCTATCTTGTGTGTGTGTCAGTGTCTCGCGCCTTGCGGGGAGGTAGCGGGAAGGTCTCTTTTTCGCTGCCTGTCTGTCTGTGCGACTGTGTGTATCTTGTTGTCTCTGAGCTTCTGTTATCGACCAACATGCGTACTTGGCCGCTTTGTATTCTCGAGACCTCTCGAGACTGGAGTCTGGAGACTGGAGTCTGGATGCTGGATGCTGGATGGATGGAGAGAAGAGGCCTAGAGGGGGCCGCCGCGCGCCGGCCCGCCCGCAGGACCGGGCCCTCAAGTCAGGAATTAGCTTTCTTGGGGTGGGGGTGGGGGGGGGGGGGGGTACCTAATATTCTGCGCCGAGACTCTTTAAAAAAAGTAATGCTCGTCGCATTAGGTGTGTCCGCCCTGGTAACCTTTCGGTTCCCTATTGAGGTACCGACCGTCGACTGGACGCCGACGCAAACAAACGGGCCGACGCCGAACACACACACACACACGAGGACGTACGATGCCAGAGGACGATGGATGCCGCGCCTCGGCGGATGGATCGCTGGACCGCAAGGAGGTCATGTGCGTGCGCACGAACGCCACAGCTGCGCGCAGCGTCCCTGACCCATCCCCAGCTCACAGATGACGCGCTTGCCGCTGCGCCTGCAGAGCAATGTGCGACAAGAAGAAGACCAAGATATTCTGCACAATGGGGCCGGCGGTGCGACACTTGACGCCTTGCACGCCCTCCCCGTGACGCACACCTCGCGCGCTGACCGCGGCTCGCCGTGCGCAGTGCTGGGACGTCGAGACGGTGACTGACCTCATCGACGCTGGGCTGAATGTCTGCCGGTTCAACTTTTCGCATGGCGACCACTCAGCTCATCAAGAGTGCCTAGAACGTGTGCGCAAGGCAACCGCGAACCGGCCGGACCGCAACATTGCCATCCTGCTCGACACGAAGGGCCCCGAGATCCGGACAGGCAACTTCGTGAAAGACAAGGCGAAGATGAACCTCAAGGCTGGGCAGGACCTCATTCTGACCTCCGACTACAGCTACGAGGCGACGGACGACACCAAGCTTGCGATCACGTACGAGAAGATGGCGACAACGGTCAAGCCGGGTGACAGCATCCTCTGTGCCGACGGCACGCTCGTGCTCAGCGTCAAAGAGTGCTACCCTGACAAGAAAGAGGTGCGCTTCGGGGAGCGAGCTCGCATAGCCATGACTCGACGTCCTCTGGCTCCTCCTCGCGAGCCACCACGACCACTGACAGCTCCCAGCCCCGCCGATCCGTTCGCCCTCCATCGCCTCGAGGACCTTCACCAGCTCACGCCGGTCGCCAGCGCCGGGCCAAGGAGTGCGAGCAGAGGCGCCCAGTTGCGCTGCACGTCTGGACCGCCAGGCAGCTCGATCCCCGGCGAGTCAAAGCGATGGCCCAGCTGCACCAGCTGCGAGGGAGGGGCGCGGGGAGGTACCGCAAAGCTGGGCTGGTACAGCTCGCATGTCTCGGCAAACCTTGGCCATCTCAGCTCCTAGTTCGCCTTTGGTAGAAACATGGCGAGCGTGCCAAAGGTGTCGATCACCGCGCACAGCGCCCACATCCACGCCTCCCGCAGCCCGCCGACATTTAGCGCTTGCTCAGGCGCGTTGTCGCCGCCGAGAAGCGCCGCCTCCGACGTCCTGACCGCCTGGCCGAGGTCCTCGTGGACCCTGCGGACACGTGAAGGACGGATCAGGCACGTGCGCAGGCGCGGTTGCGGCGAGCCGATGTGACAGGCGGAGTGTCAGGGCACCTCTGCGCTGCTCCCTCTATCGGATGAGCGGGCCAGTGCCGCACGTACGCTCGCTGCATCGCCTAGTCGCGCAGCAAAAGCAAGTGAGGCGCTTTCGGCAGAAAATGGCCTCGTGCTCGCCGAATGCTCGAATCCACCACCGCCTGGTCGCATCTCAGCGAGTACCAGTTGAAGAAGAGGTGGTGCAGCTGAGGCACAGTCACCCAATACACATAGAGGACCGCCAGGTACCTCAGCTCAGCGTACATCAGGGCCGGGTCGGCGCTGCTTGTTTGCTGTGCGATGAGGGAAGGGGGTGAGACGGCAGTCGCAGACAGGCAATCGCAGACAGGTGGCGAGGCAGCGGCGGCACCTGCAGTAGATCGCCAAAACGGCCATTCCACGCGACCCACAGCTTCGAAACGTGGAGGTTGGTCAACTTGTACGCGACGAGCTCAGCCACACCGAACCACGCGAATGGGGCGTGAGCAGGTGACTGGAACCACGACGCGAGTGCAAACCTTGGCATGGACCAGCAATGCGCATAGGCGTGTCCGAGCGATCCACCGGGCGCCCGACCGTCGAGCGTTTCACGGCTACGGTAACACGGCTAATAGCGTTGGCGGTATGGGTGGAATAGAGTTGGCGGTATGGGTGGACGCGAGACAGGCGAGCGATTTCTTTTTCTTATCGTTCTTGGCTACGAGCCCACGCCTCGATGGCTTTTTTTTTTCGTGTTGGCCACGGTGCACGGAGACGCTCGCCGCTCCACGCCTCGATGGCGGCGACCGTGCTCTCCTACTTCTGGGAGCTCGCCTCGCTGGACGTGGACCGGCGAGTGAAAGCGGCCTCGAGCCTAATCGCCGCGCTGAATACCGCCCAGTCCGAGGCCCGGGGGGGGGGGGGGGTGCACGAATCAAATGAGAATATGTGTATGCAGTAGAGATATGGAGCGACACGCACACGGGCGGGGGTCCACACACACGTACATTAAGAGAGAGGGAGGCAGTGAGACAAAAACAGGTGGGCTGACGATCCAGTGCATGCTTGGGTACGAGCGAGCTCACATGGTCTCTGCAGACATATATGTTGCGGCGCAAGCCGAGGAGCTCAACCGCCTCTCCACGCCCTCCCGACCAGAGAGGGGGCCATACGCTGCGGTGCGCCGGCGGCGAGACGGACTCGCCGGCGGGGCGAGAGGCGTCGCGTTAGGCGACCTCGATGTCGTCGAACAGGTCGATGTCGTCGCCGCCGCCTGGCATGTCGTCGATCGTCACCGGGTTGTCCGTATACCGCCAGATGGTGGCGATGTCCGAGGCGATGTCGGCGCAGTAGCGGCCGAGCGGCAGCACCTCCAGCTGGTCCGCCTCTGGCTGGTCGGGGTCGGAGGTGAGGCCGCGGCCAAAGGGTTCCTGGCGAGGGAGGGGAGGAGGAGGGAGAGGGAGGAGGCGTGGCGCGCAACGAGAGGCGCAACGAGGCTTGGAGCGCAGCGAAGCGTGGAGCGCGAGCGGCGACGCGTGAGGAGAGGTGCTGCGGGCGGCGAGCGAGGAGGCGGCGCGCCTCGATGATGTGGCCGATCTCCTCATCTCCCTATATCTCCCCACATCTCCCCGCATCTCCCCACATCTCCCCATATCCATCGCGCCTCGATGATGTGTCCGATCTCCTCATCTCCCCACATCTCCCCACATCTCCCCACATCTCCCCATATCCATCGCGCCTCGATGATGTGTCCGATCTCCTCGGTTGCAAAGATCACCCACGAGACGACGCCTAAACTCGGGGCAGCCTCGGCTCACGCCGTTGGCCACCCCCACCTCCCCGTCAGCGACGGCCAACGACGCGACTGCCGACTGTCGGCGGCAGCAGCCACAGGTCGATGTGCTCACACAGCGCGAGCGGCAGCGTGAACGTGTAGACGGAGAAGAAGCGCGACCTATGGGGAGAGGTGGGGAGAGGTGGGGAGAGGTGGGGAGAGGTGAAGGTGCAGGCGGAGAAGAAGCGCGACGTGTGGCGCGAGTACGAGAGCGGCACCGGCGTCCCCTTGATGCGCTCCGCCTGGTCTCGGCGCACCTCGGGTGACCTCGGGCAGGTAGGTAGGTGGGTGGGTAGGTGTTACCTCACACTGTCTGGGCAGAGACAAGGAGTGCCGCCGCACACACGAACCCACACATACAGAGAGGGACGAGTGCACGCATTGGGCATCAGAGAGCCATAGGGCAGGTCCGCCCATACACTGCCCCCTCGGCGCGCCCCCGCCTTCCCCAGCAGCGAGATGAGCTCCTCTCATCTCCCCATATCTCCCCATATCTCCCCATATCTCCCCATATCTCCCCCGCCTTCCCCAGCAGGCAGATGAGCTCCTCTCATCTCCCCATCTCTCCCCATATCTCCGCCTTCCCCAGCAGGCAGATGAGCTCCTCTACCTTGGCGTCCAGCTGCCACCAGACGAGGTCGCCTGCTCACAGGCGGGGGAGATATGGGGAGATATGGGGAGATATGGGGAGATATGGGGAGATGAGACGAGGTGGCCTGCTCACAGGCGGGGGCGTGAAGAGACGCTGCGCACGCCGCGGCGTCCAGCCGCCGCCGCCGGGCGGAGGTCGCCGTGCTCTCTCCTCAGCGGCAGCAGCGCGCGCCTAACGCTCGAGAAGGCCCCCTCGGGCTCCGAGACGGGCGCTCTCCGTCCCGCGGCAGCATGTCGCACGTCAGGCAATCGAGCACCGCCAGAGGCAGGTTGGGCTGCTGCGCGCACCCGGCGAGCGGCCTCAGCGCGGGAGGCCTGCGCGCGCCGCCGCCTGCCGCGCCGCCCGACGCCGCCGTCGCCGCCTCCAGCAGCTCCCTGACGTCGCGCTCGCCGCGCAGGTGCTGCTTGAGCGCGTATGGGTACGCGGCGGTCAGGCCGACGATGAGCGCCGCGCTCTCGCCCGCCGCGCCCTCGCCCTCTCCCGCCGCCTGCCCGGACGCGCGCGCCGTGGCGGACGTGAGGCGGACGAGGGCGCGCGTCGCCGAGTAGACGCCTGGGAGGGAGGAGGGGAGAGGGCGCACGGAGGCCTCTCGGCTGTCTATCTGCTCCGGCCGCGTCTCGCTCCCGCCACAACAGCTGTGCGTGAGTCGAGGGGGGGCTCTCTCACCATGCGGCTACCCGTCCCGTGAGTACTCACTGGCCGACGTCGGCGCAGAGCGCAGAGGGAGGCGCACCGTCCCACAGCTGCCTCCCCTCCCAGAACCGGTCGTAGGCCTGGCCGGTCCGAAAGGCGAGCAGGAGAGCGATGATGCTGCCCACCGCCTCGTGCGGCAGGCTCGGCAGCGCGCACGCCCGGACGGCCGCGCCGAGCGGCTCTGGCAGCGACCCCACACTCGCCGCTTGGAACGCGACCGCGATGACGGCGGCGACCACGATGGTCGAGCTGAGGTGGCCTGAGATCTGCGTGAGGACGCGCGAGGAGGAGGAGGAGACCAGGTTGGTCAGCCACGCGCTCGAGCCGCCGTACCGAGCCTGGTACGCAAAAGAGTAGTCCAGGCCGTCGTCCGTGATCTTGCCGCCTCGAACGGCGGCGTCCTGCGCGAGCACAACCGCAAAGCTCCTCCTGACGCACCGATCGGCCGCAAAGGGCAGGCGGGCTCGCTGGACGGCCGATGTCGTCGTCGGCAGCAGCAGCAGCAGCAGCAGCAGCGCGGGCAATCGACTCGGCGACGGCGACCCGAGCGCACTCATCGTTCGCTTGCCCAAAAGAATTTTATCGTGGCGCACAGCACCGCGGTGTCCAGTCCGAGCCTGGCTGTTCTTCACCTTTCTACCTACCTACCTACAGTGAGTGTGTGTGTGTGTGTGTGTCTTCGTGGTTTCGTATCAAGAATACTCACTCACTCGCGCACAGCACACTGGCACGACAAACAAATCTCGCTGGCACGACAAGGGCGCAGACTGGCGCGGACTGGCACACACACCAGCACACGCACAAAGAATCTGGTACCTCACAGGCGGAGGCGCGAGGGCGAGGGGACAGCAATGTCCAATGTGCAATGAAGAGGGGTTAGGTTAGGTTAGGTAGGAAGGTGAAGAACCGCCAGGCTCGGACTGGACACCAACGCGGTATGGGTGGAAGCGAGGAGCGATCAAAAGAAGGAAATCATTTTTGCAAAAGAAGTTTACAACAAAGCTCCCTCGCACAACACTGGGCACGGGACTGGCGCGCACTGGCACTAACACAGGTACACCACGGGAGCCGCCTAAGCGACTCCCGCGAGGGCGGACGGCGAGGCACTAAGTAAGTAAGCTGCGTGCACTCGACCGCCCTCCCTCGCCGCAGGCAAGCTCATTCACTAATGTCGAAATGCAGTCAAAGGTCGCAACCAGAGGATGTCGCATTCAGCAAGGGTGAGGGGGGGGACATCGCCGCGGAGATACACCGAAGTGTCCGCTCTTCCTACTCGACTACCGGTGCCGTCGTTGGGTCTCGGGGCGAATCGGCTCCCAACCAAGCTCTCTCATTTCCACGAAAACCATCGGAAGGGAACACGCTCTCGTGAAATCTAGGCAAATCAAAGAAAGAAAACACACTTCCAAGTGCTCCAAGTGCTCCAAGCAGAGGGATGCGCCGCCACCACACAGGACACAGGGAGGGATTTGTGCGCGCCAGTCCCTTGTCCACTCTTTCTTTTAGCAGGATTTTAAACCCTCTAGTCCCTGGAAATTTCCGGAAACTCAAAGGTCGCAACCAGAGGATGTCAAGGGTGAGGGGGGGGGACACCGGCACATCGCCGGGTTTGACCATCGGAAAACAGCCTCCAGCATACGTTTCGGGTGTCGAGAGGAAACGCTCGGGGCGGTGTTGTTGGTTCGGCCACATGACCGGAGAGCAGCCGCAGCATGGTGCGGCTGGGGATCGCGGAGGAGAGGGCCTCGTGGTTGGCTCAACCCAGCCCGGCGTGACCGCCATCGGCCCGCTTCCACCTTCCCAACAGTGGCCGCTCACGCCACGCTTCATCTTTGGGCACCGTGGCCACGGTGCTTCGCCTGGCACCCAAGGCAATCGGCGCACGACCAAGCGGCGTCGCGAACAGGGCGGCATGAAGAACGTGGCGGCCGAGGTTCAAGGGCTGCCCGAGCCGGACCCGCTTTTCTCGAGCATGCCGGCCGAGGAGCCCCTCCTGCCATCCTTCGGCAAGCTCCGCACCTTTGAAGAAGACGAGTCCCGCGCCACGAGCTACGCCCCCGGGCAGCAGCACGCCGGGAACGAATGAGAGGCAGTTGGCACAGCCTACTGCTGTGCGGCTGCCACAGCTGTGACAGCCGGATGGGCTCGCCCTGGCCCTCAGCCACTGTGCACTCTTGTGCTGGCGGTCACTGTGAGCGACACTGATCGGCGATTGTCGGCACACGGTGAGGTAAAACCACACGCCGCTACCAGCGCGTGGTCACAACTCACATCAGCCCCGAGGTCCTAGTACAACTCTCTTCACTCTTGTTGCTCTGTGGGGAGCTCTGTGTGCGCTCTCAACTCTGTGAACTGCGAGAGGGACAGGGTCCACACCCCGTAGTATATCTTGACAATACTGGGGCGTCCACACCTCGCTCACCCGTGAGATGCCGCCACGCACGCGCACACACCCTCACGGCCCAGGCGTCGCTGTCCACGGCTTCTCCGCCGTCCACTTCCGGCCGAACCGGTCAACGTGCGGGGTGTCATACAGCAAGTCGTACCAAAAGTGGGTGAGCGCGCCGCGCACCGCCGGGGCGACGCAACACCAGCCGCCGCCGAGCGGCTTGATCGTGTCGTCAAACGCGCGCCGCAGCTGCGGCGGCAGCGCCGGCTCGACGGCGCCCGGCCGGAGCGACTCGAAGTGGAGGAGCCGGGCGGTCGCCGAGTGCGGCCCGAGCGCCCGCCGCAGCCGCGCCTCGTCGACCGCCTCGCCCGGCCCCAGCTCCACGCTGCGAGCCGTCGCGGCGAGCGACGCGGGCGTGAGGGCGTCGCCCCCCACCGACGCGAGCGGCGTCCCCCTCCGCCTCTCGCCGCCGCCCACGTACCCCTTCTCGCCGCAATGGTCGCACGGGCGGGCGGTCGAGGCGCGCACGCGCACGCGCAGCGTGCTGTCGGGGCTGTAGTGCGCGGCGAGCGCCTCGGGGTCGCGCGAGTGGAAGTTCTCGAGCAGCGACCACTCGCGGTAGCCTGCTCACAGCTGCACCGCGTTAGAGGCCGCCCGCAGCTCGATCGACGCCGACCCCGTCGCGGCGGCCGATCTGCAGCGCGGGCAGCTGCGGCATGACGCCGCGCCAGTAGTGCCTGCTCACGCGATCGGCCGTGAAGGCCGCGCCCGCCCCCCCGCGGCGTCCGCGCTTGGGGAGGGGCGCGGGCGCATGCGCAGCACATGGTCAGCGGGGCAATAGTACGGCAGCGCCATGCGGCAGCCGTTGGAGCCGAGGCAGCGGATGCCGCGGTGCGCAAAGTTGGTCACCGTCTCGAGGCCGCAGACGAAGCGCGGCAGGACGAGCGTGCGGTTGAGCAGCAGGGCGAGGCGGAGCGCGGAACGCAGCTGCGCCTACAGTGACGAACGAAGGCCGACTTCCACCACCCCCTCCCAACCGAGACACTTCCTAGACACTTCCTAGACACTTCCTAGACACCGACTTCCACCACCCCCTCCCAACCGAGCGCGACCACGCGGAGGCGCACCAGTTGGTGGTTGACGAGCGCAAAGTGGTCCTGCACGAGCTGGTCCGAGAGGCGCAGGTTTCGCGGCGGCAGCTTCGACTCTCCGAAGCGGGACGTCAGCTCTGGAGGCAGGTCCGGCTCGTACGACAGCAAGCCGCCGGCGGGAAGAAAGTGCGGCGCGACGTCGTCGACGAGCCACAGCCCGCCTGCTCAGAGTCGAGGCGTGCGTGATGAGGGGGCGCCGCCGCACCGCCGCCGCCGCCGCGCCGCAGCCCGCCTTCGCGCATGCGGTGCCTCTTGCCCGACTGGTCGCAGTTCTGGAAGGTGAGGTGCACTGCCACGGGCGTCGCGCCGAGCCTGTGCAGCGCGCGCTGGATGAAGAAGAGGTGGCCCGACGGGAAGAGGTGGTTGGGCAGCAGCCCGAGCTGCAGCGACCCGCCGTAGGCCGCCATCAGCTTGCGCGCGTCGCCGGCGGGCGGCGCGACCAGGCCGCGCCGCAGCAGCTGGTTGAGTGCCTGCTGGTCGTTCTTCCAGTTCGAAAAGGCGCCGTCGGCGTCGAGGGCGGCGCACCAGGCGGCGGCGAGGGCGGCGGCGGCGGGCGCCATCAGGAACAGGCCCGTGTTCATCTCGGGCGTGATGCCAAAGGACGGCGTCTCGAGCCCCGGGGGCTGGGCGGCGATGGCCTGTGGGGAAGAGGCGGCGCGGTCGGGGTCGCGGCTGGCGACGCTTGGGAGGGGCGCAGGACGTGTCGGGGTGCGGGCAGGGAGACAGTGGCCTCTGGCGAGGAGCCAAAGCCGTCGGTGTGGAAGAGCAGCTGCGCGTGGGCGGCGAGCTGTCGGCCGAGGTACGGGAGGGGGTCTCGCAAGAAGACGACGTCGACGTCGGCGAAGAGCAGCGTCGCGTTGAGCTCGAGCAACGTGCGGACGAGAAGCGCCTGTGTAGCGGGAGCGACGCGTGGTTCGCGAGATGAGGCGAGGTGAGGCGAGGTGGGCCGAGGTGAGCCGAGGTGAGCCGGGCCGAGATAGGCCGAGATGAGCCGAGGCTGGGGTGAGCTGAGATGGGAGGAGTGAGGCGAGGCGAGGCTGACGGGCGCCTTTGTGCGTCCCATGTGCGAGAAGCCCGGCGAGCCCCACTTGGCCTCATCGGCTCCGATGGACGACTTCAGAGGGAAGCAGCGCGCGCCGGCCGCCGAGAGGCCGCGATTCGTGGCCTCGTCGGTTGCGCCGAGCAACGCGCTCCGGCCGAGGCCGAGGAGGGAGAGGTGCTGGTGCCAGTTGAGAGCAAAATCGAGCTGCGCCGCGTTGGCAAAGGTGACAAAGGTGACGCCGTGCGCGTTCGCCTCTGCCGTCTCGCGCACGGCTCGCGCAGATAGCGGCTCACACGGGCGAGCGGAGTCGGAGTGCGGTGGCGGCGGCGGTGGCGGCGGTCGCAGCAAAAGATGTGGCGGCACAGTGTCGGCCTCGGTGGCTGTCTGGAGGAGGAAACGTTGCGCACGGGAGGACTGACTGCCGGTGGATGCAACGTGAAATTTTGCCGAGAAGATGAGTGTGATGATCGGGAGAGTGAAGACAGCGATGCGAAGGACAAGCCGCATACGCACACAAGAGGCCGCCGTCAATGGTTCCGCCGGGCCATCTCGCCGCTGAGGCACAGGGTTCGACCCACGCTGTCAAAACGCTGTGCGAGAGGGCGTGCTGGCAGTCCAACACCCAGCTCTCTCCAGGCGAAGAGATAAAAGAATTTAAACAGTTTCAAGTGCTCCAAGTGCTCCAAGATGTCCTCCCATCCCTCCCTTGGGTTGTCTGTTTTCTTTCTTTCTTTCTTTGCTCCAAGATGTGGTCCTTGCGCGAGGGGAGCTCGATACACTCGAGGGGCCAGGATACGCCGCGAGGAGGACGGAGTTGCGCCGAAAGGCGAAAGAAGCCGCGAGAACAAGGGACCGGCAGGCGGCGGCGTCGCAGGACGAGACAGAAGAGAACGACGCGACAGAGGAGGAAATGACAAGGGAGAGAACGACGAGAGTGGGACGACCGCGAGGTGGCATGAAGGCTGCAGCGAGAAGCGGCGAGAGACTGCGATGATCTCGGGGAAGCTCGACGACGAGGGTCGGCTCGGCTTTTGCCTTGCTTGCCCGCGCGCAGCCTCGCGGGCTGGCACTGGCCTCGCGCCTTGGCCGCCGTGCTGTCGTCGAGATGGAGGCCTGCACACTCACACGGAAGAACTCATCGTAGTGTCACAGCCGGTGGTGGCCCGTGCTGCCGTCGAGGCCGAGGCCTGAAGTGAGTCCACACATTAATGTCCCAATGTCACTGTTCGCAACCAGCGGCTCGTGCTGGCGTCGAGGCCGGTGAAGCGCGAGAGGAGCCGCAGCGTCGCGGCCGCGTCCATCGCCATGAGGTCCTCGTACCGGAGGACAAGGAACTGCTCCCGCCTGTGCCGGGAGGGGTCGCGCGGAAGGTTCGCGGAAGGTTCGTGGTGGAAAGGGAGGAGGCAGCGGAGGACACGAGGAGGGGCGCTCGCTTGAAGTAGCGGAGCGCGTGCAGCAGGCAGGCGGAGTACATCGAGCTGGTGGCATACCTGGCGATTTCAGGGAGGCACGCTGATCGAATCATGATTGACTCCCTGATCGAATGGCGAACGGTCGGACTCGTCGCGAGAGATGTGGTGAACGGTCGGACTCGTCACGAGAGATGTGGTGGGCCACAGGCGCGCACATTGTCGCGCGGCCGTAGTCGAAGCACTTCCGCAGGTACGCGGCGAGCTCCTGCACGTCGCGAGCAATCAATCTTAGGTGGTGGGGCAAGGGGGGGCAACCCTCGCGTCTCCACGTCTGACGACAGGAGCCCCACGGCATTCAAAGTGCAAGGCCCAGTGCGCGTGGGTGAGCGGTGTGTGTGTGTGTGTGTGTGTGTGTGTGTGTGTGTGTGTGTGTGTGTGTGTGTGTGTGTGTGTGTGTGTGTGTGTGTGTGTGTGTGTGTGTGTGTGTGTGTGTGTCACGTCACTGCATCCTCCGCCGGTTCCTCCCGTCGCCTCTTCTTTGTTCGAATGTTTTTCAATCCATCCTTCACGAAGCCCTCCCATGTAGCTAGCGTTCTTGGCGAATGTCTCGAAATGGCCAGCAGGCGCTGTCTGCTCGCGGTCTGTGCGGGCCGCTCGTCCTCCTCGCCCTTCTTTCGTCTCCCGTCCCTCCCCTCCACCATGGCCTTCTCGGCACTTCTTTCTCCATCCGCCTCGCCCTGCCTTTTCGTATCGTGCCGTTCGCCCTCCATTCGGTGACCTCCATGGCTGTCCGCCCCCCTTTGGGTGGCGCTCTCGATACGGTTGCGTCAACCTCGACGTCGCTGTCGCCCTCCCCGTCCCCGCCGGCGTCCGTGCCTCGGTTCGCATCATCGGTAGCGTCTCCGTTGTTCCCTCGTGCCCCGCCGTCGCCCTCTCTGCTCGGGCCGTTAGCGATTTCGCCCCTCCTGCGTGTCGCCCCTCCGTCCCCTCCCCTTTCTTCGTCGTCATCGTCGCTGTCGCGAAAGCCCTCCGGTCCCTCGATTCCCTCGCCTATCCCCTCCGCTGCGTCGTCCCAGTTTATATCCTCATCCTCTGCGCACGTCGCGTTGGCTTCCTCTCTCCCCCTTTCCTCCCTGCCCCTCTCGCTGTCTGCTTGGGGGTGCCGGGGTGATGTGCTGCGGTACATGATCGGAATATACGCATGAAACTGAGTGGATCGGAGATGTATGTATTGAAGAGTCAAGAGACGGTCCCGGCACCGCCAGCGCCAGCGCCACCGGCATTTGCGGGGTGGTGTGATGCAACGATGCCGCAGGCCAGCTGAATTCTCAGGTGTGCGTGCGCGGGTGCGCGCCTTGCACATGTACGTACTCGCCGCACTTGTGACTGGGTGCGGGAAGTGGGGAGTGGCGTGGCCAGTGGCGTGATGTAAAAAAAAGTAAACGAGAGCATCTTCGCCGCTGGCCGCGAACCGACCCACGGCTCCTCGTCCGGGGCCAGGGCTCGCATCAGGGAGAGCTCGCGCGCCGCCAGTCCCGGCGCCGCGGGCTACTTGGCCTTCCCGCCCGCCGCAAAGTACGGGTCGCGCAGCAGCGCCGCCGCGTCGGGCCGGTCGGCGCGGCTCGGCGCGAGGCAGCGGCGGAGGGCCTCCTGCGCCTCCTTGGAGAGGGCGGGCTTGCAGTCGGGGATCGCGAGGCGCTGCGCCTCGGTCCGCATGGAGTGGGACGACATCTGCATGATCTGCTGCTGCGAGGCGTCGGCGAAGAAGGGCTTGGCGGGGTAGAAGAGCATCGTGAACCAGACGACGCCCGCCGAGAAGACGTCCACCTTTGGGCAGATATGGGGAGATATGGGGAGATATGGGGAGATATGACGACGCCCGCCGAGAAGACGTCCACCTTTGGGCAGATGCGCGACGACTCGCCCTCGTAGCACTCGGGAGGCAAGTAGCCGTGCGTGCCGGAGCCGTACGAGGTCAGCTCCATGCCGCCGCGCGAGTCGGTCGCCTGCGGACATGTCTCGGACATGTCGTGGACGTGTCCTGGACATGTCTCCGCCGCGCGGGTCGGTCGCCTGCGGCTCCATCACCTTGGAGAGGCCAAAGTCGGAGAGGCGCACCTATGGGGAGATATGGGGAGATATGGGGAGGTGTGGGGAGGTATGGGGAGGTATGGGGAGGTATGGGGAGGTATGGATAGAAATGGGGAGATCTGGGGAGGTAGCACCTCGCCCTCGTGCAGCAGGATGTTTGCCGGCTTGAGGTCGTAGTGGATGATTGGCTCCCGCTGGCGGTGCAGGTGGCGCAGCCCGTGCAGCACCTGCACGAGATATGGGGAGATGTGGGGAGATATGGGGAGGTAGATGAGGCGCAGCCCGTGGGGCACTTGCACGATGATCGACTTGGCCTCGCGCTCCGCCAGCGCGCCCTGCCGGCGCAGCAGGTCGGCGAGCGAGCCGCCATTGCAGTACGGCATCACCGAGACAAACGTCGAGCGGTCGATCTCGAAGGCGGCGAACCTGCACGAGCGATGGGGAGAGGTGGGGAGAGGTGGGGAGAGATGGGGCGGTCGATCTTTTCGGCGGAGAACGTCTCGACGATGCGCCGGTGCGTCAGCGCGGCGGTGATGTCGATCTCGCGCTCGACGTGACGCACAAACGACTCCTGCGCCGCAAAGGGCGGGCGGGCTAGGCGGGGCGGGGGGCGGGGGCGGGCGGGGGGGGGGGGGGGGGCAAAAGGCGGCGGCGGCGGCGGCAAAAGGGGGGGGGGGGGAAAGCCCTTAAGAAGTTGGGGGCGGGCAACACCCTGGGCCGCGGGCGGCGTCTGATGTCAGGTGGCGGCCCCTTTTGGGGCCCCCCCCTTTTGGACCCGAGGGGATTCATTTTGGGGGGGAACTGCCCGGCCCCTTTTCAGGTCGAACCCCTGCGGAGGCCCCATCTCTCGGGGGGGGGGGGAACCAAGGGGGAGGGGTTTCCAAGGTCCCCCGCCCCCCCTTAGGCCCGGAGGCCCCAGCGGGGCCAAAAATTTGCCCCAAATTTGCCCCAGGTTT